AAATCTTCATTGCTTTCACTGCAATTTATTTTTTTATTATTTAGGGAGCATTATAAATAGTTATGTTTTTAAAAGAAAAACTACTATTGTTATAAATAACACAATCAATTGAACTAAACTATGCATGCCTATTTAAATATATTTTACACATGGCTTGTGTATATATCATATATATATTATTCATACCTTCGGTGTATAGGATGCAAGCACATTTTGACATCAAATTTTGGGGTAAAAAAGTGCATCTTATATACCAAAAAATATGGTACTTCATTAGTATTCAACTCTGGACATAACTTTCTTTTATTATCAACATTTTCTCATCTAAAGCACTCTCCAGAATACTGAAATCTTGAAAAGTGGGAAGAAAATCACAGTTTTGTAAGCCACTCCAAAGAATAGCTGATTGATTAAATGGAGTATTCTGTACATGCTCTTTAATCTTTAAGCACATACAAGAAACTGTAGAACCCACATATCCATAGTTAGACTTTGGACATGCAATTTTATAGATTACATAAGAGCACTGCATTTTAAGAACACAGTCTTTAAACTTAAAATAATTACATTAATAAAATATCTGCTTAAAACCAGTTTTAAGTTGAATTTGAAGATAAATCTTACAATTCAAAACAGTTTTAATCTTCTTCTTTAATTCTAAATTGATTTACCAAACCAAATAAAAAAATTAAATTTAAAGTATTAATAACAAGTTTTTATGTATTTGTTATCACTGACGCATTTTTTAAACATTGTAGTACTGTCTGGAGTGGCAAAAAAATTCTAAAAGGACACAAAAACCTAATATAATAAATACATTTTTTTTATTTGTTACTTTCTAACATTTCACTAGAAGCCATTATCAGGGAAACATCTAAGCATAGTAACATATAGAGTTAGATTTAGTTATATCAAAAACTAGCGTAACCATGCTAATGGATACTGTTGATTTATCATGAAACACAACAATACTTTGTCTTTTTTAAGGTTTAAAGACCAGAAAATATGATGGAAAGAGGTGTGTCTATAATCTTGGTCCAGCCACAAAACAACTCAGGAAGGATAACCACAACCTGAGACCTCGAAAGGTTTTTATCACTACACTAAGAGAGTGTGAACAGCTAAGGGTAAAAAAAAAAGTGACTTGAGGGCCTGAGACTTGGTGGGTAAGTGTCTATAAAAGTGACTGAATGGACCACTGGGGGTAAAAAATCTGCCATATGAGAAGTGTGCTATATTCCCTAAGGTAACTTGTTCTCACATCAAGGAGCAATAGTAAAATATTCTTTGGAACACAGAGGTTACCAAGAATCACCTTCACCCTCTCCCCATGACACCATAGTTGTCTCTGCTTGGTGTTGGCCAAGACTCTACTATAGATATCTTGTTTCCATAGTCACTGTCCCCTGTGAGTGAGATGGAGCAAATTTCTACTCAGTTACTCAAGCAGGTCATTACTCAGATCAGTGAACTCAATGATAAGCAGTGTAATGCCTGATCTTGAGTCTTGATGGACCAGCACTTGGATGAAAAGCAGCTCAGTGATTAGGATACAGTTTAGTTCAGCTGCTCTAATGCTTTGATCCAGGAGAGAACCAAGCTATCAACTTCAATAAGTTCAAAGCTCATAAAAAGAGGTCCCTCAGAGAACTTAGCTGCTTGTAGCAGATGATTTGCATCACATACATGGGAAGGCACCTCCCATCATGATGTAAGCAGCCCATGAGGATATCCTTGTGGATAAGTTTAATAAGGGATTGCCAAGTGAAGCAATGTAGCATCTCTTGGGTGTAAGGAATATTCACACCTCGATGGAGGTATTATCTCTGGTGACTGGGTTTGAAGTGGTAAATTCAAACAGGTCACAGGAAAAGAAAAAGTCTACAGTGGCAGCTGCAGTAGCTCTACCTTGGCTGTTAGGATACTAAATGTTAACTGCCCACATGTTACTCTATAGCAGAATAGGCAAAAGCATCCATTTTGGCCAACTATCCCATCGGTACAGGAGGGTCATAGGCAAGCTTACTGTTGCTTCTTCTTCAAAAAAATTACCAAATCTAGGTTGGATCTGGCCACCAACCTGGTAAAATGCAGTAGTCAGCTTGCATTCAACATTTTATTGGTTAGTCTAGCTCATCTAGGGTTGAGTGGTGGTTGGTATGTGCCAATAAAGGCACAAAGCAAAGCTCTACAGTAACTCTGAAAATATATGACAGGCAAGAGTCAATCTTTACCTATCCAAAAAAACAATTTATACACCTGAATTTTGCCTTTTGTCTTTCCAAACAAAATACTTCCATACAATCAATATTACTTATTTTTTATGAAGTAATTTGAGCTTTTATTCTAAGTCACTACACCATGCAACCTCAGTTCAGTAGCACACATAGACCAAGTAATACATGTTTCC